GGGCCGAAGTCCACATGCCTCCTTTCAATTGCAGGCATTTCCCCTGATGACAAGGAGGCTCCGATGACTCTCATTTCCAGTTGCTATGAAATTACACCGTCCAGAGCCACCGAGTGCCAGAGCAAATCGGAAGACACGGCTCCTTCTTGCTCACACAGGTGAATTTCCCAGAGGCTCAGGAGGGAAAAAGAGGCTGGGAAACGACTGACCTTTCCATGATTATGCTGGGATTGACTGTCACGACGTTAGTCTTTACACCAACATCTGCCACGTATTTCCTCGATATGGGAGGCAAATTGCATCTGTAGGAGAAAAAGGAGCACCGGAAAAGATTGCAGGATTATTATTATTTTTAATTGTAACCTTCTCCTCCCCTCCCCCATCCAACACAAACGTCATTTTACACAGTGCCAAAAACAGCCAACCGAGCTCTACCGCAAGCCAGCTGGGGACTCCGCAGCCTTTGGGTTTAGAGCAAAGGGTCTTCAAACTTGGCAAGTTTAAGACTTGTGGACTTCAACCCCCAGAATTCCTGAGCTAGCATGACTGGAGGAGGAATTCTGGGAGTTGAAGTCCACAAGTCTTAAAGCTGTCATGTTTGAAGACCCCCTAGCTGGATCTTGACTAGCTGGATACCCCGGTGTGCTTTGCTCTGGAACTATGTGGTCGGGCTTAGTTTTGGGGGAGGAAAATAAGGGGGGGAAATTCTGCCTCTGCCTACCAGCATCCATCGGTATTCATCTGGCTAGCGTCCTGCCAGGGTGTGACACCATTGTGGGCTGTTTGGAAACTGAAACAGTATTTGCTATGTGAGCAAGGAGGAGACAGCAAGGAGCCTGGGCGTGGCTTAGCTCAGCTGTTCTGTACTAAAGCTGCTTGCTGCTGTGAAACTAAAATTGAACCTCCTCTGCTTGTGTTTTGCATTTGGAAGAGATTTCTTTTCAGGTGGGGAGGGGGAGTAGAATTCCTTAGCATCAGAGGGTGTTAATAATAATATAGGAAATACTAATGCTCTGATGGTCATTTGGAAAAATCCTTTCTTAGTGACCACCTAGAAGCCAAGAGGAACATATGTGCCAAATTTCAAGTTTGTAGGCTTTTACGGTTCTGGAGATTTTATGATGATGCGTGAATGGTATTTCGCTTTTATATATATAGATTTCAATTTAGAAGTGGCCCAACTATAGACAATTCTGGGCAGCTTATATTTTAAACTGTATGGAACAACAAAATAGGAGTGGAAACCTGAATTGTATCTTCTGGGGATAATTAAACGGGAATATCCTCTCAAAGTAAGGTACTTGATCATTTTATACTAACAGCGGCACAAATCTCACTGGCACAATATTGGAAAATGCTCATTTTACCACCTATACATATTATTATTCAGAAGATCTATGAATGTGCCGAAATGGAAAGGCTCACACTAAAACTAAAAGGAAAAGATGATTCTGAATTTTATTCGATTTGGGATAAATGGTACAACTGGATAGACCGTAAGAAAAAGAACGTATAAAATAAACGAACGTAGGAAACATATTATTACATATATATCTAATTGATAGGAATTTGTAAAATATTAGTTTTATTTCTTTTTCATTGAATAAACATTATAAAGGACTCATTTACAAAATAACAGTGTTATAATCCAATAATAACAATAGACAATTAGATAATATATAATATAGATAGTATTTAGTTTATAAGGGATGAGGAATATTTGCCGTTCAATACCTGTTATGAGTTACTTAAATCACTATCAAATGTGTTAGAGAGAAATATGAATTGTACTGATGTCTATTTGTATGACTATTACATTTTAATGCTTGTATATTTGTATATTTTAATCTTTTGTACTAAATAAAGTATTTTTTAAAAAAGAAAATAAAAAAGGAACAACAAAATAGAAGAGAAAAAGAATAATCAGAAAAAAGACATAAACACACACTTACACAATGGAAGTTCAACAGCCACCTTATCCTCAGGCCTGGAATAGCCAGATGTTCAAAATTTTAATCTTTCCTAAGTGTCTATGAAATTCAAAGGGAGTTGGATTTAGTTCGCTTGTGGCTATGTAGGGATTCTAGGCTAGTGCCTGTTTTGACTCCTCCTGCAGGTTCTGCTACTCTTCCTATACTAATACATTCGTTTGATTCTGCAGGGCAGAGCCATCTTTCTCTCTTTCACTTTTTCTTCTTCTTTTTTTCCCAGTAAAGAAAGAAAGAGAAAGAGCAATAGGAAAAAAAATGAACGTTTTCCAAAAAGCAGGCACTCTGTGGACTTCTTCCAAACCCTGAATGAGACACACAATTATATAAGAAATGTCTAATTGGGAGCATTTTTAGCTTTTAGCCTGTGAGCAAGATCCACATGGAAACTAAGCTGCTCCTACAAGGGTCCCCCTCAAAATATCTAAATAAATTTCAGTTAAATCCCAAATCTGCAGTATCTATTTTCCTTAGATTGTTAAATACCTCCAATTACTGACATTGCCTTGGGAAATTGTACCGTAGTATTTCGGATAAAATGATCACAAGATTATTTGAGATTATTTTTTTCCTTCTTCGTGATTATAATTTCCGTATCTCATCCCTTTCAACCACATGGTTTGAATTGTCTTTCTAGCCCATTCTGCAAGTCTGCTTTTTTTTTTTTTTTTATCCTCAAAGAACAGCTGGAAGCTGAATTTGTAATCAAGGCAAGGGAAGATTTGCAGAAACCAAAGTACAAGATATAATTAGGAATCCTTCTTTGTCACTCATCTCCAATGCAGTACAGAGTTTTCTTCTTTATTTCATTTTATGATGAAGAATGCATTTTGCCACTTTGGTCTAGTTGTCAAGTAACCATGCTAGAAAGCAAGGGACTCTGAGTTCAAGTCCCGCCTTAGCCATGAAAACAGGCTGGGTGACTTTGGGCCAATCATTAAGCGACAGTGAATTCTAGTCCCACTTTAGTCTTAAAAGTCAGCTGAGTGATCTTGGGCCAGTCACTTTGTCTCAACCCAACCCACCTTACAGAGTTGTTGTAATCGGGAAAATAGGAGGAGGAAGGGATGTTAAAAATAGGAGGAGGAAGGGATGAACCACAGTGGCGCAGTGGTTAAAGTGCAGTACTGCAGGCTACTTCTGCTGACTGCTGGCTGCCTGCAATTTGGCAGTTCAAATCCCACCAGGCTCAAGGTTGACTCAGCCTTCCGAGGTTGATAAAATGAGGACCCAGATTATTGGGGGCAATAGACTGACTCTATAAACTGTTTAGAGAGGGCTGTAAAACACTGTAAAGCAATATATAAGTCTAAGTGCTAGTACTATGTTGGATGTGTTCGCCATCTTAGCAATTTTTAAAATAATAAAGGCGGGATATAAGTAAATGTAGTGTTTGCACACCAGTACAACCTGTGCAGAGTTGAATACCCCTCTAACATGGAAGTGTTGGCAGGATTCCCTATGATATTTATGTAAAAATTGAATAAAATCTGGGCTTTAAGAGGTTATTTTTGGCAGTTGTTTAGCTGGTTGCTAGTCACAGTTGCAAAGAATTGTCTATTTGTATGATGAATCTAGCGTTGCTTGGATGATGACATACAGAGTTTATCCATCCTGAACTAGAAGATGCAGCCAATACTGTATCATAGAAGATAGAAACAAGATTCAGAATATTGGATGGAAAAATAGCCCAACTGCCACCGTCTGCGAGACTAGGATGAAGCTGCTGTGCCTAAAGATGAAGTAGACACTGTCAGAGTATATTCATTAACTGGCAGAGACATGGTTAACAAAGTAAGCATGGCAACAGACTAGCCAATGGGAGCTGACAGCCTGGGTGTGGTTTGGCTCTGTGTGCTTTGCTGAGAATTGAAAGTGAAACTAACTTGCTTGCCATCTAAACTGAAAGTGTTCTGTTCTGAGCTGCTGCTTGTGTTTTTGCTTATGCTATGTTGAAAGAATCTATGAATGGTATTATAAACTTTACTCATGTTAATATATTTATAAAGAAGTTAATGATCTTGCTGAATCAGTCGTCTGTGTGTTTTCTGGACTTGAATTTCTGCTGCAAACTCTTAACAGACACCTAAGGATGGACAAATCCCCGGAATCTGATCTAAAAGATCCCTGTGGGAAGTAGATAAAGAAGAACTGAATAATTAAGGAAGCAAAGGAAAAATGTCACTTGAAATCAAACAGAAGGATTTGGGCCGAAGCATATGGGAAATCCCTCAAAGCGCGTGATCACTGAACCGGTTGTTATACCAGTGGAATCCCAACCCTGCTCCAAGATCTCTTCCAACTCTGTTATTCTGTTATATATGGAACACATACTATACAAAGTATAGTTCAATGCATGAAATGATGATAGAATTCTTTATTCTTCATTGGCCAGGTGTGATTGGACACACAAGGAATTTGTCTTGGTGCAAATGCTCTCAGAGTACATAAAATAAAAGATACATTCGTCAAGAGTCCAGAATCATACTTAATAAAAGTCATAGGGTACAATAAGCAATCCAATCGTACTAGAAAATAGTCAAACTAATAAGGGTCAGTATTGACCAAGTCAGTAAATTCATCAATTCAAATATAATCTCCCAAATTATTTTAGGATGGGATTCCTTGAACTTTTGTTCACTTGTCCACTCTTGTTTATAGGCCATTGACCTCAGTAGAACAAAACCAATGAACACAAAATAAATGGATTTGATAGGAGAGGGAAACAGAGAGAAGGGGGATTAAATTAACATTCTGTCCCGGCTTCTCAACCCTGCTGTGATCCATGGCTTCATAATGCTGAGCCAATAGTCAACCATTGGATCAACCATAACAACACAAGAGCACACAATAGATACAAACTCAAAGTAAACCGCACCAAACTTGATTGCAGGAAATACGACTTCAGCAATAGAGTGGTCAATGTCTGGAATACTCTACCTGACTCTGTAGTTTCTTCCCCAAACCCCAAAAACTTTAACCTTAGACTGTCTACTATTGACCTCACCCCTTTCCTAAGAGGTCTGTAGGGGGCGTGCATAAGCGCACCAACGTGCCTACCGTCCCTGTCCTATTGTTTCTCTTATTCTTTTATTTTTCTTATATGTACCCATTTCATGTATTCACAACTATGTATACATTTATACTTATTATCTTGTAAACAATTGGCAAATCAAATAAATAAATAAATAAATAAATAAATAAATAAATAAATAAATAAATAAATAAATAAATAAATAAATAAATAAATAAATAAATAAACAATTCAACTAAACAAGTTATGTCCCTCTTATGTAACTTGGCTGTGTTTTGGAGAAAATAAAGGAAAAAAATTATTTTGCCTTCAGGCCACAGCTTCAAACATCACCAGCAAAAATGACCTGAAATGGATCCAAGAATCAATTTTATCTTAAGTTAGCAGAACCAGAAATGATTTCCTGTCCTTTCTTCTTTAATTGTGTCTTAAATCTCTACATTAACAATCTTGGAAGAACTTGAGGCTGTTTTTGAGACATAAAGCTAATGATATTTTTTCTAAAAATAATTGAAAGTCATTGTACACACTTTAATTTTTTTCCCAATTATGAATTCTTTATCAAGAGGCTAAAAGCAGAAAAGCAATAAACCTTTAAATTTGTGGGGTTTTTTTTAATGGTTGGGTTGAGATCATCTACTATTGCTATTTACTGTTGTTTTTTCTGTTCTTTTGCCTTTAAAGAGTTAATCAATTTGCAGGTATAAAGTTTTCCATTATTTTCCACAATTTAATAGTCAAAAACATTGACATAAGCATGTAAATTCACGCTATTGTCTTATCATCTCTGACTTTTGAAAATAAAATTGATTGCCATAGGCCTTTAAAGGTAAAGGTTTCCCTCACACATACGTGCTAGTCGTTTCCGGCTCTAGGGGGCGGTGCTCATCTCCGTTACAAAGCCGAAGGGCCAGCGCTGTCCGAAGACGTCTCCGTGGTCATGTGGCCGGCATGACTAAACGCTGTTAAGGCGCACGGAATGCTGTTGTCTTCCCACCAAGGGGGTCCCTATTTTTCTATTTGCATTTTTACGTGCTTTCGAACTGCTAGGTTGGCGGAAGCTGGGACAAGGAACGGGGAGCTCATTCCGTTATGCAGCGCTAGGGATTCGAACTGCCAAACAGCCAACCTTTCTGATCGACAAGCTCAGCATCTTAGCCACTGAGCCGCTTCATCCCTTAAAGAGCCCTAGTCCGTATGAATTCATTTCCAGTTGCTTCTGTATAGGAGCTTAGTAAATGAAGTGTGGAGAGAAAAAAAACTGAAAAGTTATCTATACCTTCATTAGCAATTTAGCAGCAATAGCAACACAATCACTGTATATAAAAAGAGAATGGAATGGAATAGAATACTTTATTGGCCAAGTGTGATTGGACACAGTGGTGGGATTCAAATTTTTTACTACCGGTTCTCTGGACGTGGCTTGGTGGGCGTGGCAGGGGAGGATACTGTAAAATCTCCAGTCAGAGGGGGTATTTGCCGGTTCTCCAAACTACTCAAAATTTCCACTACCAGTTCTCCAGAACTGGTCAAAACCTGCTGAATACCACCTCTGATTGGACACACAATTTGTCTTCGGTGCATAAGCTCTCAGTGTGCATAAAAAATACATTCATCAAGTATTGTAAGATACAACACTTAGTGATAGTCATAGGATACTAAATAAGTAATCAAATCATACTAGGAAACTAAATAAAACAATATAAATGTAAAGATACAAGCAACAAGGTTATTGTCATAAGTAGAAAAGGTAATAGGTAATAGGAAGGATGAGAAGAATAATAGCAACACAGCCTTAGTAAATAGTTTGACAGTGTTGGGGGAATTAGTTGTTTAGCAGGGTGATGGCATGCTGGGAAAAACTGTCCTTGTGTCTAGTTGTTCTGGTGTGCAATGCCCTATAACGTCGTTTTGAGGGTAGAAGTTTTGAGGATAGAAAATGCAAAGGAGATCATGCTAGACAATTACCGTAAGACAAAATCGGCACCATCGATCTCCTGGCCACATCCGCTGTTCTTCAAAATTCCTCCGTTTCCAACCACTGCACATTTCTTAAACTGGGAACGGGAATAGGGCATCTCCTGGAGCAAAGCAGAAGCCGAAAAATGGGACCAATTCTGGGAAAAATTGTACACGTTTATCCCAAAGGTGCTGTGATGACCCCGGGCATGGCACAAAGGCAACACAGTCCAATAAGCAATAAGAGTCCCTTTATTATCTCCAACTTTGCCCCCAATGTCCAGGTTACCTTCGGCTGGAGAAAAACTCTCCCAGGAACAGCCTTTAACTGTAGAAAATTCAGTCCAAAACAAGGTACACACAAACTGTAACTTAAAATCCAAACAAACCAAACTGAACTGATGAGCTTGACAGGGCAGGAGAAGGAATTTCAGACTTGAAAGGACGTTAAAACTCACACAGTTGGGAAGACACCAGGAGCACAGATAAGCATCCACAATACAAGATAAATTCACGTTTGCTCCCAACAGCTTGCTGCACGCAGCTTCCCTTTTTTATAAACTGTGTTCCCAGCTGCAGCTAATGAAGGGAATCGGGGCCGTTTCCTCCCCCATAAGCCACTCAACTCATGTTTCTCCCTTCTCCATTCCTCCGCAGGGAGGAACGGAGAAAGGAGCAATGTGGCTTATGGGAGAGAAAAATATTGATTCTGGATTCTGTAAAATAAATTTAAGAGTCCACATGGACTTGAAATAAGATTTTGAAATTAAAATCATAAGAATCCTTCTCATGGGAAAATGCTATTGATTTGAATTCTTTTTTAAAAATGATAGAATGGGACTTTGAAACTTGGATACTAGAGGGAGCCAGAAGAAATTACAGTATAGACCAGGGGGCAACTTTAAGCCTGGCGGACTTCAACTCCCAGAATTCCTCAGGCAGCTTTGCTGTTTTGTATGTTGGTTGTAAGCTGGCTGTAAGATGTAAGCTGTAAACTGGCTGGGGAATTCTGGGAGCTGAAGTCCCCCAAGCTTAAAGTTGCCAAGTTTGGAGAACCCCGGTGTAGACCAGTTAAAAGATCCCAACCAAAGTTGATTTACTGATACAGAATGAAGCAAAATACTTTAACATTGGATATATTGACAGATATTTGTGAACCATAGATCCAGAAGTTAATTTTAAAGAGTGTCTGCTATTCTATTCTGGCTGTGTATAAAAGAGGAATAAGCTTTTGTCAGACAGGATTAATATTGATCTGGAAGTAGATTTAAAAGTGATAATATGGAAAAAGCTATTATACCAGCTGGTATCTTAATAATTAAAGGGAATATACAAATAGATTAAAGAATAACCTAGATAACAAGTCAATGTTTAAAGGCTTAAAAAACTTAACGTAATTCAGAGCACTGTGTGAGTGCAGCCACTGCTCAAGAAAGCTGGAATTTAAAAATTTTTAAATTTTTAAAACAGCCAATATGAAACCTGCTCGGATTGCATGCATTCAGGTAAACCTATCTAGAATTTTTTAATTAGCTATTCAGGTGAATTGTGAACTGTCAGGTCAACAGAACTGAATGGAACTGAATTGAATAACCTTCATTGTCATTTCCCTGATTTTGTACACAGACCTGAGAGGTCGATGGCATTAAAAGGGACATTTATAAGTCATTTGCTAAATATAAACAAAATGGAGCCTCTCCAGTAAGAAAGAAAAAGACAACAAACTTACAGGATTAAGATTTCAACTCTGCTGCATTTGATGTCACAATACTGGAAAAATAATTGCCTGTGACCTTGGTGGTTGATGATATCAGATTAAGAAGGGCCAAGACTCAGGGGTGTTAGAGAGCGGCTGGCTTCTTGCATACATAGAAAGATCTTACAATGCTACTAATATATGCATACAGGCAGTCCTCACAACTCTTCATTTAGTGATTACTAGCAGGATACCCGTGCTTCGCTACGAAACTATGTGATCGGGCTTAAATTTTTGGGGAGGAAAATAAGGGCGGGGGGAATTCTGCCTCTGCCTACCAGCATCCATTGGTATTTATCTGGCTAGCGTCCTGTCAGTGTGTGAGAGAGTTGAGAGCTGTTTAGAAAGTGAAACAGTATTTGCTGTGTGAGCAAGGAGACAGCAAGGAGCCTAGGCGTGGCTAAGCTCAACTGTTTTGTACTAAAGCTGCTTGGTGCCGTGAAACTAAAACTGAAACTCCTCTGCTTGTGTTTTGCATTTGGAACAGATTTCTTTTCAGGTGGGGTGGGGGAGTAGAACTCCTTAGCATCAGAGCGTGTTAATAATAATATAGGAAATACTAATGCTCTGATGGTCATTTCAAAAAATCCTTACTTAGCAAGCACCTAGAAGCCAAGAGAAACATACGTGTCAAATTTCAACTTTGTAGGCTTTATGGTTCTGGAGATTTTGTGATGATACGTGTTGTTCGGGTATTTTCCCACGTCATTGTAGTTGTGCTTTTAAAGTTGTAGCAACGTTTCGGCAGAATCTCATCTGCCATCATCAGGCTTCTGTATTGTGTTCGTCTGTGTACAATACAGAAGCCTGATGATGGCAGATGAGATTCTGCCAAAACGTTGCTACAACTTTAAAAGCACAACTATAATGACGTGGGAAAATACTCGAACAAAGCTGAGCGAAAACTTAAGAAAACATATAGATATAGATATAGATATATACACAACAGCACTGAAAAAAGTGATTTAAAACTGTTTTTCACACTTATGACCCTTGGGTCAAGGCTCCAACAAATCCACCCTCATTCAAATCAAAAATCTCTAGCCGCATCTCAGAGAAAAGTAAATTGGTTTATTAGAAGTTGCCATGTTGGCGCGTGGCTGGGTGCAGCCGATACTAAATCACATCATACATTTCCCCCTTGACCCTGGTCTTCCTCCCACCCCCTGGATGTGACTTCTCCAATGGGACAGATCCGTCTCCAAGAGTCATCCATCATGCTCTCCAACAACATTCTTACGCTCCGACAACTTTGGACTGCCAGGGTGATTATCTAGGCATTTCAAGAATGCCTTGTTTTCCCCCACTCCCTTTTTCTGGCAGCTAAAAAGACCAAAGGAGTATCTTTTTAGTTGACACCTTGCAGCATTCCCATAGTCACGTGATCAAAATCTAGACAACTGGCTCGTACTTATGACAGTTGCTATGCCTTAGGGTCACGTGATCCCTTTTTGCAACCTTCTGACAAGCAAAAGTCAACCAGGTTTATTTAACAATTGTGTTACTAACCACTGCAGTGATTCCCTTAACAACTGTCGCCAAAGAGGTTGTAAAATGGAGCAAAACTCACTCAACAACTGCCTCATTTAGCAACAGACTTTTTGGGCTCAATTCTGGTTGTATGTCGTGGATTACCTGCATAAGTAATGTGTTTGCAACATAGAAATAAATGTGATTTTTAAAAAATAATTAAAGCATGCATGGTGCAGGATTCATAAAAGAAAATACTGTAAACAGTCCATTAGGGCTGTGAGGTTAACGTAGAGTAGATTGTTTACAGGCAACAAGCAGGTGGCAAATGTAATATGTGCTACATTTCTGGATAATCCCCTGCACTCCAAGAGATGGAAAAATAAACTTGCCTATCTCTACCCACCCAATTAACTATGGAGGCAAAGATATTATTCAAGATATTCCGCCACAAGGTCAACTGTGATGAAGGTAATAAATTCTTTCTCTGGGTAGAAGAAATCTAGAACCTAAAAGGCAAATGGCAGAGAAAGTCTGAGAACTGAATGGTTAGATTCTGGAAAATGATTGGAGTTATATAACTCAGGGGTCTTCAAATTTGGCAAGTCTTAAGTCTTGTGGACTTCAGCTACCAGAATTCCTCAGCCAGCCATGATTGGGGAATTCTGAGTCGATTGAGGAATTCTGGGAGTTGAAGTCTGGCTGAATGGCTGGCTGGGGAATTCTGGGAGATTTAAGACTTATGGACTTCAACTTCCAGAATTCCTCAGCCAGCCATGATTGAGCAATTCTGAGTTTGGCTGAGGAATTCTGGGAGTTGAAGTCTGGCTGAATGGCTGGCTGGGGAATTCTGGGAGATTTATGGACTTCAACTTCCAGAATCCCTCAGCCAGCCATGATTGAGCAATTCTGAGTTTGGCTGAGGAATTCTGGGAGTTGAAGTCTGGCTGAATGGCTGGCTGGGGAACTCTGGGAGCTGAAGTCCACAAGTCTTAAAGTTGCCAAGTTTGGAGACTCTTGGTGTTAACTCACAGAGACTTTGGAGGGAAAAGACAAAGTAAAATTCTAAATAACTTCAAAATGAATAATACCAAAGAGGTGAAAAGCAAAGGAAATACATTCTTCATAAGACGATAGATGGACTAATAAAGTCCTGGTTTAAACAATCCACTGTTTGGTAAGTAAACCACAGTAGGCTGGGGTCACACACTACACCAAAACAGAATAAATTCCATCATCATGTGATGTAGAGTTGAACTCCACTGGATAAGTTAGTGGATCAAATCTCCCTTCAGCTACAAACTGATTCCATGGCCTGATTTAAATTATGCTGATTGGCCATTTTCCACATGGGTAGGATATCACTCTGATGCTCTGCTGTGCTAAATATAAAATTATGCTACCTATCTCTTGATATGCAGGAAGGAGATGGCAGGTGGCAGGCTAATCAGAACAACCATGAAGGAAAATCCCAGCCATAGAAAGTCAACAAAATTCACTTACTCATTTCTCACTTTTCATAGCTGCTACAAAATCCAGGCAATGTCTTTGCATCCAACCGCAGGGATCAGACCTCAACTTATGACCACAATTGTGCCCAACATGTTATGTGGCTAAGTGAGAAATTGGTTCAGTGAGTTTCGCCCCATTTCTGGACTTTTCTTGCCACATTTATTGGGGGAATCCCTGCAGTGGGTACATGAGTGAAATGAATCTAGTCCCTCGCTGACTTGGCTTCTCAGAAGACCACAACAGGGGAGCACCTGAATGTAAATCGCGTGATCACAGAGAATCCTGCAACGTAAGCAGTGGTGGGGTTCAAATTTTTTTACTACCGGTTCTGTGGGCATGGCTTGCTGGGCATGGTGTGACTTGGTGGGTGTGGTTTGGTGGGCGTGGCAGGGGAAGGATACTGTAAAATCCTCATTCCCTCCCCACCCCACTAGCCTGCTTTCCAGCTCCGTTCTCCTGTGCAGGGCAACAAAAGAAGACCCAGCCAATCAGCTGGGACTCAGGAGGCAGAGAATAGATGGGGGGCGGGGCCAGTCAGAGGTGGGATTTGCCAGTTCTCCGAACTACTCAAATTTTCCGCTACCAGTTCTCCAGAACTGGTCAGAACCTGCTCTGGTCATAAGTCTGAAAAACGGTTGTAAGTCACTTTTTTCAGTGCCATTGCAACTTTGAACGATCAGTAAGTGAACTGTGGTAAGTCAAGGACTACCTGCACTTAGGGGCAATTCTTTTTTTTTAAGTCAACAAAGGTACCACACCTTAGGAAACATTCTGAATACTTCGACGTTGATGTGGAAAATCCCGCTGGTATCCACTTCATACTTCAGGTCTGTTCCCAGGGGTGTGTTCTTTTGTGTGGTGAAGAGGAAAGCTGGTGCACTGCAGCATCTGGACAGAGTAGACCTATGTGAAGAAGCAAGAAGGATACACATGAATCGTGGTGGCGCAGTGGTTCGGATGCAGTATTGCAGGCTAACTCTACTCACTGCCAGGGGTTCGATTCTGACCGGCTCAAGGTTGACTCAGCCTCCCATCCTTCCGAGGGGGGTAAAAGGAGGGCCCAGATTGTTGGGGGCAAGAGGCTGACTCTGTAAACTGCTGTAAAAGCACTGTAAAGCGGCATATAAGTCTAAATGCTACTGCTATTGTAAGTACTATTGCTAAGCTCTACCTATAGCTATCAAACACAATAAAACACCCTTAAGGGCAGCCAGCTAAGTGTAGTAAGGATAGTGAGACAGATGTAGGAAGTTAGCACCCACACCTCTCCTAGAAAATTAAAATATCCTAGGAAATATTAAAAAGGCAGAATATTTCCTCTAAAAAGAGTAGAAATTCAAAAGCAGAAACACTTCAGAAACATCTCACCCACCCATTTGTTAAAGGTAGGCCATTAAGGCCTGGCCAGAATACTTTACACAACAAAGATCTCCAGGTAAAGCTATAGCAATTGCTCAAAAGCCCTTTCAGTGCATCATCCTCCAGCAAGGCTCAACCAAGCCTGGAACTCAGGACAGCCTACAGAGTTGCCCCTGCACGGCCCCATGGGAGTCTGACAACCAATCAGAATACAAGGTCAAATTCAAACCCCAACAGAGGGTATAAAACCCAGGCACTCTCAGCATCTCAGCCCTTCCTTCTTTGGAGCTCCAAGCCACGTGGTCCTGTCCACCATTAAACCATCTTTCCCAAACGGCCTCCATGTTTCCAGTGTCTTTTCCCCCCACTTGGAACTGAACCCAGAAGGATAATTCTTCCAACACAGACAAGCACAGGATTCCTCTAGAGAAGAACTAGGGTTCACATGATAGCCGTGTTTCAATATTTGAGGGGCTATCACAGAGAAGAGAGGATCGAGCAATGGGGGGAAACGCATCAAGGAGAGAAGCAACTTAGAATTAAGGAGAAATTTCCTGTCGGTCAGAACAGTTAATGAGTGGAACTGCTTGCTACCAGAAGTTGGGAATTCTCAAACACTGGATTTTTTAAAGAAGAGATTGGACAACCATTTGTCTGAAGTGGTGTAGGGTTTTCTGCCTAAGCAGGGGGTTAGACTAGAAGACCTCCAAGGTCCCTTCCAACTCTGTTATTCTATTATATTCTAACTTATTCTCCAAAGCACCTGAGGGCAGGACAAGAAGCAATGAATGGGAAACGTATTAAAGAGAGACCCTTCCTCGAAATATGGAGGAATTTCCTGACAATGAGAACAATCAAACCAGTGGAACAGCTTGTGGTTGTTTGTGCTCCATCCCTGGAGGTTTTTAAGAAGTGATTGGACAGGCATTTGTTCGGAACGCTATAGGGTCTCCCTGCCTAAGCAGAGGGGTTGGACTAGAAGACCTCCAAGGTCCCTCCCAACTCATTTAGTCTGTATTCCTCCGTTTTGGCCAGATAATCTGTCAACTATGCTGAATATCTGTAGGGTTGAAGGAAATACGCAACCCACCCACCCCACTACATACTTCATCTCAGTGGCGACTGCAGAAGGCCCAAGGTTCAATCCCCAGATCTCCAAGTGGAAATGTGAAGACTGTCTGAGAACATCGAAAAACCACCAGACTCAAAATTCTAGACCTAGAAAACCTAGAACTACGCCGCCTTCAGTCCGATCTAAGTATAGTATATAAAATCATACATTGCAATGTCCTACCTGTCAATGAATACTTCAGCTTCAACCATAACAACACAAGAGCACACAATAGATACAAACTCAAGGTTAACCGCACCAAACTTGATTGCAGGAAATACGACTTCAGCAACAGAGTGGTCAATGTCTGGAATACTCTACCTGACTCTGTGGTTTCTTCCCCAAACCCCAAAAACTTTAACCTTAGACTGTCTACTATTGACCTCACCCCTTTCCTAAGAGGTCTGTAGGGGGCGTGCATAAGCGCACCAACGTGCCTACCGTCCTTGTCCTATTGTTTCTTTTATTTTTCTTATATGTACCCATTTCATGTATTCATAACTATGTTTATACTTATACCTATTATCTTGTAAGCGATTGACGAGTAAAAATAAATAAAAATCGATGTCTGATATTAGGTAACCCAATTTCCTCCTATCTGGTGTCTCTCAGGACTCCCAGAATTCCAAACCCAGCCTATCTCAATCCCAACGCATTTAAACCTGCTATATTGGAGATGCGGTGGCCTAGAGGTGGAGCTCTCGCCTCACAGTCGGGAGGCTGTGAGTTCGATCCTAGGTAGAGGCAGACTATTTCTCTCTCTGGGCACAATGGGAATATATCTGTTGAACAAAACTCCACATTGGTGACAGGAAGGGCATCTGGCCAGGAAACATGGAACTCCATTCAGTTGCCCGGAATCCACCCAACAAGGGATTATGGGATCATTAAAAGAAGGTGATATGTTGGAGGAGACACAGCTTAGAGAAACCATCATCTGAGGAACCATCATCTAATTTAGTGGCTTGGTCCTGTGATAAAGTATGGTTTGTTGAACACATCACATTGGCTGGGTCACTGTTCCTATATAGCAGTGGCAGCTCACCTTTTTCAGCTCCTGTGCCGATAATTCCACGCGTGCTCGTGTGCTCCCGTGTCAGCACCCAGAAGGCAATGCGTGCTGGGCCCCCACCCCACCCCTGCGCATGTGTATGCGATCCCATCGCATGCCATACATCTGTGCCTGCGCACGTGATCCACCCACCATGCACCGTGCACCGCTGCACACGTGCACATGTCTCCCGCGTGTCTCCTGCACGTGCATGCGCACCCGATACCCGACAATCAGCTCTCAGGCGGCAGCGCGCACACATTCACAGTGGGGCTCTTCTGGACGAGTTCTCGTGTGCTGGCAGAAATGGCTCAGCGTGCCATTTCCAGCATGCGTGCCACAGGTTCGCCAACGTGGCTATATAGTCTGACTGGTTTTAAGTAAAACACAGCCACGGTAGTAGAAAAGAATGAATGAAACGGTTTTTAATTGTTTTCTGAATTTTCTTTTCCACTTCTCCTTCTTTATTTCTTTTTTTCTCTTTCACATTTATGCATGTGTTGTCTGTTTTAATTGTAAAATTAATAAAGTTTATTTTTTTTAAAAAAAAAGAATTAATTTATACTTCTCCCTGCAGCTGAGAAACAATAAACCTGGAATCAACGATTACCCATTTTCGCTGTCAAGATATAGATTGGGGCTAGGGATTGGATCAGGTTTTGTCAAATCTCTTAAAGTTCACCCCCCTCTTACTTGAAGAAGTTGGCCTCCGTGATATTCATCTCCCACTTGCAGATCTGAAGGTTCTTCCACCTTTCAAACAATTCCGTCTGCCTCGCTCTAAAACAGGCAGAAAAAAAATGGTCACCTTAGAGCTGAATTCCAAACGCAGCAGCATCTACATCCCAATTTGGACAAACAACAATGCAACCCTCGTCCTGGTCAAGGAAGAGAGTCTCCGTGTGCGCGTTTGTGTCTACACACACACTCAACACACATTCTTCCGAAGCAAAGAAAACCACAGGATATGGAATATATACGGAAGAGCCGTGGTGGCACAGTGGTCAGAGTGCAGTACTGCAGGCTACTTCTGCTGACTGCCGGCTGCCTGCAATCTTGGCAGTTCAAATCCCACCAGGCTCAAGGTTGACTCAGCCTTCCCTCCTTCTGAGGTGGGTAAAATGAGGGCCCAGATTGTTGGGGGCAACAGGCTGACTCTGTAAAACTGCTTAGAGTAGGGCTGGAAAGCACTGTGAAGCGGTATATAAGTCTAAGTGCTATTGCTATTGCTATATACACATACATACATACATACATACATGCATACATACATACATGTGTGGGTATCCCAGATCCTGTGACTTGCTTTGCTTCTTTTGCCTGTCAAACAAAAGAATATTCTGATCGCAGGCTTGGCAAGAGTCAAGCTTGCTGATTGGACACAGGCAACTGATGGCTTTATTTATTTTATGTTTATTTTATTTTATTTGCTTGTCAAACATGCACAAGATAACAAGTATAGCTATGAACGTAAACAGTCCCACGTCCAACCTTTTTGTTTCTCCGTCATTCCTTGGAAAACACCTTCCTGCCAATCTTGTCTTCAAGACCTTGCCACCGGTTCCAGAAAAGCTAACAATCCCAGCAGGTGCTGGGTGAACACTAGCTCTCCTGCAAGTTGGAGCAGACTAGGAGCTGACTTACACCTGCTGTTGGTTCAGAAGTGGGATTCAAATTTCTTAACAACTGGTTTGTGGGTGTGGCCTAATGTGTGGGTGTGGCTTGGTGGTCATGTGTCTTGGTGGGTGTGGCTTATATGTAAATACTGTAAATATTTACATAAATATTGATTTTTTTTTATTTTAAAAAAGAGCAACTTTTACCCAAAATCAGGCAAAGCAGGCAGCAGATTGAGTTGCTTGCAGAACCACAGATTCACTCAGAGATCTACCTTTCTGCAATCTGCTGCCTGAGTCTGCACTGAAGAATAGAAGCTTCAGCCCTCAGGAAGGTTCAGCTCTGCTCGCAGGCCACTTCTCCCCCTCCCCACCCACTGAATACCACCCCTGGCTGAACCTCAAGGAAGCCTCCTGGGTGAAGGCAAAGCAGTCCAACAGCAATTTAGGCGAGCTAGAAAGCAAGAAATCCGACGATTTCCTGTTTCCTAGCTAATCTAAATCATGCGCCACAGCTGATAGTTGGAACAGCTGATCATTGGGGGGGTGGAGGAAAAATAGCAACTTACCAAAAATTAGGCAAGGCACAACACAAGCAAGTTGGATGGCGTGCATGCGAGATAAGGAGGACTAGGCGGGGAGGGGCCAGCCAGTAGCACGATTTGCTGGTTCTCTGAACCGCGCAGAATCATGACAACCGGTTCCATAGAACCGGGCCGACCAGGTAGAATCCCATCCCTGTGTTGGTTCCACCTCACTGTTACTCACCAACCCTGACAGGAAAACCTTACACATTCTGAGCATCGCTGCAAAGTGCAAATTTGAAAACAACCTATTCTGGACCAAAAAAAAAAAAAGGCTGGATTTTGCCACGCCCTTCGGTCAGTGTTGCCTAGGACAAAAGGAATGAACAGGTTCCTACTTACACCGTCAGCACCTTCAGCTCCATTATTTCCCGCCTTAGATCCAGACATTTTGTAGAGTTGTAATCAAAAGGTCCGTCATAATATTCAAAGTACCTGAGGAAGAACAAATGAGACACACACACAAAAATGAATGTCAGGTCTCACTGCTTCTAACATCCTCTTCACACAACTGGCTGCCCTTTCCAAAAATGTTTGTCAACCAATCTCATAAGTACCATTCCTCTAACTGTGGTTTGTACAGCATATGCAGTAGGCTCAAAAAAAAAGATGTTGAGAAGAGCAACATAGATGATTAGGGGACTGGAGGCTAAAACATATGAAGAATGGTTGCAGGAATTGGGTATGTTTAGCTTAATGAAAAGAAGGACTAGGGGTGACATGATAGCAGTCTTCCAATATCTCAGGGGCTGCCCCAAAGAAGAGGGAGTCAAGCTATTCTCCAAAGCACCTGAAGGCAGGACAAGAAGCAATGGATGGAAACTAGTCAAGGAGAGAAGCAACCTAGAACTAAGGAGAGATTTCATGACAGAACAATTAATCAGTGGAACAGCTTGTCTCCAGAAGTTGTGATCCAACACTGGAGGTTTTTAAGAAGTGATTGGACAAACATTTGCCTGAAAGGGTACAAGGTTTTCCTGCTTGAGCTGGGGGTTGGACTAGAAGACCTCCAAGGTCCCTTCCAACTCTGTTACTCTGCTCTTCCATTAATGAGGAAACTGACAGGCTAATGGAGAAACAGACTCACCCACCCACCCAAAAAATGCAACAGCTTTGTTCGCACGAGTTCTTCCTTTGGTTACGGAATTAACCCATGTTCTGAGTTTGTAGAATGACCCAGAACCATAAGCTATCCAATGTTTTAATGCTGCAATCCACCCAGAATTGTTTCTATATAAGATGGGTGGCAAAATACACTTAATCAATAAATACGTGGATAAATATGGGCTGGATCGAAAGCAAGCAAGAACCCTACCCAGGTTCAGCCTGCTCTGGAAAAACCACTCTGAGGTCTTTATAGGATGAAAGTTGGTGCTTTTATAGTCCTGACACAGATAACTGGTCTATAGATAGTCCTCAATTTATGACCTCAATCGCACCAAAATTTCTGTTGCTAAGCAAGGTAGTTGTGAAGTGCATTTTGCCCCATTTTACGACCACTCTCGCCATGGTTGTTAAGTGAATCAGTGCAGTTTTAAGTTAGTAACTCAGTTGTTAAGTGAATCTGGCTTCCTCAGTGACGTTGCTTGTCAGACGTTTGTAAAAACGTGACCCCAGGACCTCTGCAACCATCTGAATTTTGATCAGGGGGGATGCTGAAATGGTCATAAGTATGAAAAATGGTCATAAGTTGCTTTTTCAATGCTGTTGTAATTTCAAATGTTCGCTAAACAAATAGTTGTAAGTTAAGGACTATCTGTATTTGTTCCTCGAAAGAGTGGGGAAATCTTGCCTTGAAGAATCTGGATTTGTATATTTTGTATATTTTTCCTGTCAGCGCAATCATGTTTAACTCTAGCTGTCAATTAAATTAAACAGAAATCAAATCAAATATTTAATTTTCCAGATTAATCTGCTTTTCTTTTAAGCAACCGACAGAAATCTGAACAGCCCAGCAGCCAAAACGTTTTACAAAATGAATATTGGACCATATATTTTAAGAAAAGCAACTGGCACAAGGGAAATCATAACTGAGAACCCCAGACAGTGATGGACAAGTAAAGAGAATTTTGTTTCTTGTGGCTCACTATCTTCAATTTAATTTCTCTTTTTCCTGCGTGAAGCTTATTAAATACACAAAATTGCAGAAGTGCCAATGAATGGATGGTGCCCACAAAACAAAAATAACCACATCAAATTCACCTGTGCATTGGACAAAAGATTGACAAGCTATATAAATGGCCAGTAACAATCAAACAGCTACACTAAAGTACAATTCTGATGTACAGTTAAAAGTAAAGAATGCCTGAAATGTACGTCATTAACAAAGCAATTCCAGAAAATTCAACCAGATAGCCTGAAATCTGTTTTGCTTGCAGCTCTGTCAGGAAAGTAAAACAATCTTGAAACTTTTACTGCTCTTTAAGCACATGGATGCATGGATAAATTCAAACAGGATCTGACCCAGGTACCCTGCTTCCACACATTTTTAAACATTCATCCCTCTCAGAAAACAACTGAGCATACACCCCTATTCAAATGCACTTATTTTTCATAAATATGCAAACCTGACTTGCAAAAAGTCTGGAACACTATAAGTGGTTTTTGACTTATAACCATTTGTTTAGTGACTACTCAAAATTAACAATGGCACTGTAAAAAGTGACTTAGGATTGTTTTTCACATGACAAGCAAGGTCACTTAAGAACCATGTCAACTAAAAAATATTTCTTTGGTCTTTTTAGCTGCCAGAAGAAAGGGAGTGGGGAAAGTAGCGCATTCCTTAAATGTTTCAGATCATTGCTAGGCAGCCAAAGCTGTTGGCACGCAAGACTATTACTGAAGAGCATGATTGATGACTCTTGGCTATGGATGTGTCCCATTGGAGAGTAGGAATTACGATACACCCAGGGGGTGGGGGGAAAACCAGGGCCAAGGGTGACAATGAATTATGTGTTGAATTATGAATTATGAGTTGGCTGCACCCAGGAAACGCCGACATGGTCACTCCTAATAAATTATTTTTTTTACTCTGAGGGATGCGGCTAGAGACTTATGATTTGAATGGGGGTGAATGTCGGAGCCTTGACTAACTGTCTTGCTAACATAGCAATTGCAGCGATTCACTTCACAACTTCGGCAAGAAAGGTTATAGAATGGGGCAAAACTCACTGAACAAACGTCTCATTTAGCAACAGAAATTTTGGGCTCAGTTGCGGTCGTAAGTCGAGGACTACCTGTATTCCACTTTCGTCAGCTGAAAAGAACTTTTTGTTCTGACCCAGTCCCCAAACACGAGAAAAACCCTCTGTAGCTGAAGCAATGTTTCCTTTATTAGGAGCGCCAGCAGCCCCAGCAAAAAAGTTTGTCTTTCACCGCAGGCTAACAAGTCCGTCTGGCAGGGGAGATGAAGAGTTGTCTGCCACACCTATCCATCCTCACCCCCTGCCTTTTATTCGCAGAGCTAGGGTGGGGCTTCGTTAGCAGCAGTGGCTCTTCCATCCCAAGGACCGGCCCATAGATTTCCATTATTCTCCTCTCCTCTGCCTTCTGCGCATCCGAACAGGCATTAACATTCCCAGACCCCTGCTGTCAGTGTTCCAGAAAACCTCCACTCCAACGAATAACTCCAAGACTGACATCTTCTCAAAAGTTCTGTTTTAGTTGGATAATAAACTGGCACATCTGGGGAATCCCGAATCTGAAAGTTCTGGATTTCCTTGCAATAAGTAAAAACTACAAATCCACCCCCCTGTGTCCATCATCGCATCAACATGCCCCAATCACCATCCGTTCCAACTTGAGACGTCCTCTCACCCAGGTGCAGAAATTACATGACCTTGACTTAGAAAAAGAATGTTATTATGTCGAACGACATACACTCCAAGAAATTCCCCCCTCCCATTTTTCTGATCTCAATATGTCTTCCAAAGGGGGAACACCTGCTCTGCATGGAAAGGATGTGCCACATTCACGAGTGGTGATGCCTTCCTGGATGATCTCAAGGATCTGTTGCAGGATCTCACCCTTCCAGGGCTGTGCCCTCCAATCTCTGTACCTGCTGCCTGCGCCACTTCCACTCCTCAGAGCTCCGCCATCCATGAAATTGGAGCTGTTGGTCCAGTTCGCCCGTTCCTCATCACTCTGCCAGCTAAAGTGCGGCTCACTAGCAAAGAAACAAGGCAGTTGGTATCTCACATCATTATTCTGTCCTTCTCAGCATCGGCTACATCCAGGTAGTCCTCGACTTACAACAGTTCAGTTACTGACCGTCCGAAGTGACAACAGCACTTTTGTGACCTTCTGACAAGCAAAGTCAATGGGGAGGCCCGACTCGCTTAACAACCGTGTGAGTAAATTAACAACTGCAGCGATTCGCTTAACGACCATGGCAAAGAAAGGTCATAAAACGGAGCAAAACTCACTTTAACTGTCTTGCTTAGCCACAAACAAATTTGGGTGTTCCATTGTTGTCGTAAGTTGAGGACTACCTGTAGTCAACATAAAATATTTCCCCAAGACAGGGGAAACCTGAATCCTCCGCGGATGGCTGGTGGACTTCAGTCAACCTTTTTCAATCAACGTTAATATGGGAAATATGTAACAGGCAGTTCTTTCCCCCGTGTTTCTAGTGCATTTAGAAGGACTGGGTGACACGTTGCTAAAAGGGGACAGTGATGACATGGCCACAGCTCACTGGCCCTCATGGATATTATGGTCTGGATTTGAAAATCAAGAGAGTGAAACGTAAACCAGCTACAATCTCACCTGAGCCAGGTGGGCTGCCTCTAGCCAATCAGCTGTCTGTCTGTCTGTCTCTGTCTGTTTGTCTGTTTCTCTGTCTATCTATCTATCTAATCTCTCTCTTTCTATCTCTAATCTCTCTTTCTATGTATCTACTTACCTACCTATCTCTCTATATATCTCTCTTGTCTGCCTGTCTGCCTGCCTATCTATCTATCTATCTATCTATCTATCTATCTATCTATCTATCTATCATCTATCTATCTATCTATCTATCATCTATCTATCTATCTATCTATCTATCTATCTATCTATCTATCATCTATCTATCTATCTATCTATCTATCTATCTATCTATCTACCTATCTACTTACCTTCCTACCTAATCTCTCTCTTTCTATCTATGTATCTACTTACCCCCCCCTCTATGTGTGTGTGTGTGTGTGTGTGTAGCTCCTGTCTCTGTCTGTCTGTCTGTCTGTCTGTCTGTCTGTCTGTCTGTCTGTCTGTCTATCTACTATGTGGGAGCTTCATCACTGGAAGCTTTCAAGAAGAGACTGGACTGCCATCTGTCAAAAATGGAGTAGGGTCTGCTTGGGTGGAGATGACCTACAAGGTCCCTTCTAACTCTGTTAATCTGTATCTCTATCCATCCATCCATCCATCCATCCATCCATCCATCCATCCATCCATCCATCCATCATCCATCTATCTGTATCTGTGGGGCATAAAATAGATGGATAGCAGCAATAGAACAACACATAATAATAGCGTAATATAAATGCACATAGGATGGGAATGTATTGTCAACTTTGTAAGGTATAAACCAGCCAGTGCACACTTTTCTTCTGAATTTTGCGAATCGTTATCCTAGAGACGCTCATTTTATGTCAACCTGGAAGGAAGTGATTATCTTTTCTTAGGCGCAAATAATGCTTCTCACCAATAGGACCTCAGGGTGGCAGAACTCAGTGGCATTTGTTATTGGCAACACAACGGCGCTGCAAAACTGCATCCGTGCCCTCTCGTTCTGCCAGCCATTTCCTTTGCGGTGGTTGCCAACTCTTTCCCACTAGCAATTATTTAGAAACAGGTTGTGCATAAAACAGAGAACATGTTTAGTTTCGGGCTGAGAACAAACAGCCCACGTGAAACTTTCTATCCGAAGACTTCAGGTGGCGTGCTCTATCTCAGATACAGATAGTCCTCGACTTACAACAGGTCGTTTAGTGACTGCTTGAAGCTACAATGCCACTGAAAAAAGTGACTCAGGACTGTTTTTCACACAGTGAGCCATGGTGGTGCAGTGGTTAGAGTGCAGTACTGCAGGCTACTTCTGCTGACTGCCAGCTGCCAGCTGTTCGGCAGTTCAATCCTCAATGGCTCAAGGTTGACTCAGCCTTCCATCCTTCTGAGGTCGGTAAAATGAGGACACAGATTTTTGGGGGCAAAGGCTGGTTCTATAAACCGCTTAGAGGGGGCTGTAAAGCATTCTAAAGCAGTATATAAGTCTAAGTGCTATTGTGAAGGAAGGAAGGAAGGAGGAAGGAAGAAAGGAAGAAAGGAAGAGGGAGGGAGGGAAGGAGGGAGGAAGGAAGGAAGGAAGGAAGGAAGGAAGGAAGGAAGGAAGGAAGGAAGGAAGGAAGGAAGGAGCCAGGGTGGCATAGTGGTCAGAATGCAGTACTGCAGGCTAACTCACTGCTCACTGCCAGGAGTTCAATCCTCACCAGGCTCAAGGTTGACTCAGCCTTCCATCCTTCCAAGGTCACTAAAATGAGGACCCAGATTGTTGGGGGCAAGAGGCTGACTCTGTAAACTGCTTAGAGGGGGGCTGTAAAGCACTGTGAAGCGGTATATAAATCTAAGTGCTAGTGCTATTATGATCGTTGCAGCCTCCCCATTGTCACATGATCAAAATTCAGACACTTGGCAGCTGGCTCATATTTATGACGGTTGCAGCGCCCCTGGATCACGTGATTCCCCCTTTGAGACCTTCTGATGAACAAAATCAGCAGGGAAGCCAGATTTGCTTAAACAACCATGTGACTAACTTAACAACGGCAACGATTCACTTCAACTGTGGCACAAAGGATCGTAACATGGGGGCAGAACTCACTTAAGAATTGTCTTGTTTAGCAACAAAAACATTGAGCTCAGCTGTTGTTCTAATTTGAGGATTGCCTATATTTTCTTTTACCCCAGAAACAAAACTTAAAGGAGATACAAGTGCATCGCTGTTGTGGTTAGCCCGAAGCAGGTGCGGACGGCTGAGGAGAGTGAGGACTCAGATGAGGGTCCAGGACCATTAGGGAGTGGACTGCTGCATTCGGAGATTGTGGGGGCTGGCAGCAGCGAGGAGGAGGTTCCCGAGGAGCCTGTGCTAAGTGCGTGTGCGTGCAAGATTGCTCAGAGGAAAGAGCAGCTGCAACAGCACGGGCGACTCAGGAGTAAGGCTGCAAGGTAATGGCTTCTCCTTCAAGAAGATAAAAGCCAGCTGTGAAACAAACGTACTTTGCAGAAGGCAAAGACGTTTTGAAACTCCAGCCTCGTGGACATTGCAGTATCTTAGTTGGTATTTGAAGACTCTTGTGTTGTAAAATATTTCTTATTTTAGTTATTCTTGGCAGCCTCACACAGTTTTGGCGAGGCTCGTGCTTATCTAAGTTAATTAGTTTGCAGCAGCCTTTTAACCAGGGATTCGTAAGAATCATTAAAAGGTTTCTGTTCCCTTTGGTTCGTGGTTGTTTTATTGGACAAGGGTTTGGGTCAGTACAATCGCAGTCCACCTCATGGCTAGTGCAAATTGTACACATAGTCCTTGCTTAACAACTAGCTGCTTGGCAATTGTTCAAAGTTATGACGGACTTCCCCAGAGTTACTTATGACCCAATTTCAAAGTTCCAATGACCGCACCAATGTGTCCTTATGATTTATATGGATTGTTTCCTAGTATGATTGGATTGCTTTATTGTACCCTATGACTATCATTAAGTGTTGTACCTGATGATTCTTGACCCTTGACGAATGTACCTTTTCTTTTATGTACGCTGAGAGCATTTGCACCAAGACAAATTCCTTGTGTGTCCAATCACACTTGGCCAATAAAGAATTCTATTCATGTGACCTGCAGTCACATGATCACATTTTGGGGGCTTGGCTACCAACACATACTTATGGATGCTTATTGTGTCCCACAGTCATGCAACTAACAATTTGTGGTGTTTTTTTTGCCAGTTTCTGACATTTATTTCCAGTTTTCAGCCAAAAAAAAAAAATCCATTCATAAAAAAACCAAGTTCGCTTAATGACTATAGTGTTTACTTAACAACACAAGCATTCACTTAACGACTGTGGTGTATGCTTAATGGCCAGCTCAAGAAATGTTGTAAAATCACATCATGACCTTTTAGCAACTACCACAAATTATAATCCTGGGCTCAGTTATGGTTGTAAGTCAAGGACTGCATGTATATCAGCCCATTTCAAGCCTTTTCAATGATTGGAGCATTTTAAATGCTGCCACTCAAAAGAAGTTTCATTTCTTACAAAACCATGTTTTGAGCCTGTAGCCGTGTTTCCTTTCAGCCTATCTAAAAGCAGTCGCAAATCGTCAAATGGAGGTGGAGTCGAAATACAGCCGTCTCACAAAAATACGTGACTGAAAACATCATTCACCCAGTATCCATCCTTAATTTTTTTTTATTTTGCTCAAAAAATTCACACAGCAAAGGAAGAGCTACATATAAAAATGCAAACACCTTCAAGTAACGTCAGGACAATCATCGTCTTCATTTAACAACTCCATAATCCCTTGCGGGATGAAGTCTGGGCAACTGAATGGAGCAAGCAGAGTGTTTACTGGCCAGATGCCCTTCCTGTCACCAATGCGGAGTTTTGTTCGGCAGATATATTCTCAGAGTGCCCAGAGAGAGAAATGTCAAGGATCAAATTCACAGCCTCCTGATTGTGAGATGAGAGTTCCATCTCTAGGCCACCACACCACTCTTAATGTCAGGACAATCTAACAATTAAATTCATACGATAAGTGAGGTACATCACTATTCTATATTTTATGTTTTAAGACACGATCTGTGGAGAGCAGCAATTAAGCTTTGGAACAGTGATGAAATATGTCATAGAATTGCACAGCCGCTATCCAGATGAAATTGGAGACTCTAACACAAACTTGTAGTGTTTGAAATATATAAATGTATTTTAGATTTAAATTTAAAGGGGTCTTTGTTATCAGCCAGAGAGAAACAACACAAGATAGTCAGAAACACAGGAACATCATCGTGAGACAAATGTTTACAATATACACAGAAGAAAAAGGTGGGAAAAAGGGGAAACGGCCCTTTTACATCCACAGCAACCAATCACAGCGTAGCCGTAGATCGTCTCACGCATGACTCAGCATTCTCG